ACCTGGTCTATTTCTGACATTAATCTGTAGATTTTTACTTTGTAACCTTGCTCTGATCACTGAAACAGGCCTCAAATGACTATTATAAATCACTCTCAAGATTTATTATAAATTGAGTTTCATATGAGTGAAATGGTACTGTCAATAAATTAAAACCATGTTGGCTAATAAATAAGATTTTTATCTAATTAGCATAACTTTCTGATGAATAACCTATATATATTTTGCAAATTTTTATTAATAAGTATAAGCTTGTGTTCATTAAATTATGCATATCATATAAATTATATATAATCTATGTAAATATTCTGTAGTTTTCAAAGCATTTTTCAATATTGTGAAATTACTTTTCATTTTTCTTGGAGGTAGAAGTTATATTAATCTTAAGGAAAGCATTAGATATTTTAAGTGGTATTCTAAAGTAAAAATAAAAAGTGACTATAATGCCTAGGAAAAGATTTATTTACCTATATGAGTTGCCCCTAATATTATAATGATTGAACTTCAGATTGCATAGCTAAATGTTGTTTAGCAGTAACAGATTCTGATTTTATATTTCTTCTGCAAAACCTTAAAACGTGCTGAGAAATGAAAGCCAAGGATAAAAAATACATAGGATTATGTTATGTATTGAAAAACCAAATGCAATTGAGCACATAAAGGCTGGCATTATTTTTTTAAGAATTACTTATTTGCAAGATCCTTGATAAAACGTCAGATAAGAATACATAGCTACATGGCATTTTTATGGTCAGAATGAACTGAAGTTCATTCTTTAACTGTCCATTTATGTTGAGAAATATCTTTATAAGCACAAGTTACTTGGCTTGAGAGCTTCTCGAAAGAGAAACTTTCTTATATCTCTCTTTCATCTGTAAAACTTTATTAACATAGAATTATCCATGGGACCTGGGAATCTATTTTAGTATTTGACTTCTGAGGCATTTTACAAATTTTGTTGTTAATTTTTTCATGATTCCATTAGTAAAGAAACCCATGATTTCCCTAGTATTAAAAATGATTTCACTTAAAATTTATAGTAGCTACAATAAAAACATATTCATAAAGCATATCCTAATTACTTTTACAGATATTTTAATACATTTAGTTGGACTGAAGCTGCATTTATTTCTCTAAGAGAACTAGCCACTTTACAAAACTAGCCACTGTGCTTAAACTGCAACTGTTGAGTTGGCTTTATTTTTAACTCTTTTAATGTGGAACTAAGGTCTGAGAAGTAAGGAGAATCACCCATTGTTATTCAGAAGCCTTACTGAAAGAGACGTGACAAATTCTAGAGATGCCCATAATGGGTTTTCATCATGATATCCTGCGAATGAGATAGGTGAATATTCTGTCAAGTCGCCAAGGTTAGAGGGCAAAAATCAGAATGGGTTCTACGGTCACCATGGAGACCAGCCCCTCCAACTTCAAACATTAAATCTTCTGTTTCATCCAGGTAAGCCAAACACTCACTGCTTCTGCCCAGCAAATAAAGATAGGATTGATGCCACTTGGACACATTCAAATCCAGCAATTCAGCATCAGATCCATAATAAAGTATGATCTTAATAATCTGGAAGATGAAATTAAATTATTGGACCAACTATTTAAAGGTAAGCCGTCATGGTCTGTAGATTCACAGGTCTTTGCTTTCTCTATAATACACAGGATATACCTGAGTATCCTTGTTGACTGTGAGTAACAAAATTTACAAAACAAAAGATGTCGCCACTATCCTGTGCTCTTGTTAAAATACCTGCTTCATTTATTGTCTGTCTCATAGCAATTGGTCTCCTTGTATTCTTGTTTATTTACCTGGGCAAAAGCAAAATGAGCATTTTTCCTTACTCATAGAGCCAGATGTGTTTTATTTTGTGTCCTGATACAGCATGGTCAGAGAGCAACATCACAGCTGGTTTCTACCTAATACAGAATTTTGGGGAATTCATATTTCTTCCTAAGGAGAAATATGAGAAGAGAAAGAATAAAATGTGCCTTGATTTTTTAAGGCAGCTTTTCAAGACTTATTTTTATCTGAAGTGTCTTTAGTTAAAAAAAAAAAAAAATACATTCTCATAAAATATAATGATGTGTATATATAGCTTGGGGGAGATGTTTTTTATAAAAGATTTGACTGTGTGCTACTATATTTTATGAGAAGCAGACAAGTGGCTTCCTAGGAGGGTATGCCTCCTCACTCAGGCATCCACATGTTAGGTCTGTGATATTTAATGATATAATTATTTCTGTTACCCTTGTGAAAACTAATTACCTTGAAAATTATTCCAAAAGGATAAAAGATTGACTTTTTCCCCACCATGATCAGTATCTACCTGGAAAATGTTGTACACACTGGGCTATTCCACTTCATACTTATTCACGTCATTAACTCCTGTTCCAAAATGCCTTCTTTTTTTCCTTTCTCCCCTGTAAATAAGCATTCCATTGCCAAGTTATTTTCTAGTAGATCTATATTCAGAATTTTATGGTATGCAGGTCTCAACTAACTTCCCGATCTTTAACCCTGGTTATAAGGCCTAGGAGCCATCATGGACTAGCAACATTTTCTTCCTCAAAAAACATTGATCGATGCTCCAAGGTCAAATGACCTACTGCAACCTTAAGAAAAGATGATATTCAGAATACGAGGAGAAATGATTAAGCTGTATCAGGGTGTATGTGTGTGAGCTGTAACAAACCCTCCTAGTAATTTACCGATGCAACTATCTAGACATGTTCAAAAGAATTTAGATGGAGGTCATAGCCAGGTATAAAAGGATAGAGAAAAGTTGGCAAATCTCCTAAAGCATCCTTGATGGATATCCCCAAAGCAAATGGGATACCTTTAGTAGGAAATATATATAAACAATAAACTTATCACTAGGTTACCTTAGTTTGGTTAATTGTAGATGACATATTTTTGGTGCATAAGTATTAAAGAATACCGCCACTTGGTTGCCTATGGATAGAATGAAAAGAGCAATCAACCTAGAATTGTTTTACTGTAAGGATACACTAGATGTATAAAAAGTCACAACACAGTGTGTGGTGGTCTCTGTACACCAGTGCAGCTGCTCTACCGAGGGGCCAAAAGCCAAGTATGTTATGCAGAACAAATGCAGACATTGCTAATCATAAACATCCAGAATTTTTGTGTCCTTTAAATCATACATTTATAGCACTCCACCCTTCAACCCCCAAACCTGCCATGAGGACCTTTTGTCAAAAAGTGCTTCTAAATTCACTGTGAAAGTCAAGTTTGGCTTAACTGATCTTTTATTCAAATATATCTATTTTTCCCCTAAAATATATTAAATAGGGCAAAAATAATCCCCTACAGGACTGAATTGTATGCTTCATTTCTTACCTAACTTTTTGGTTCAAATTCACCTTTCATTCTATTCAGTAAAATTTATCTAATTGTTCAGCCACCCCTCACAGTCAAGGAGAAGCGTATGCTGGGTCTAACTCCACAGGAATTATAAACTCAAGATGAAAGACGGTTTAGAGTCAGCAGAGACAGAGCTCTGTAAGCGCACACCAAGTAGAGAAGGCAGGATTTCTTCCCTCTTGATTTACACAGCTCTTCTTTCTATTAGCATGTGCCTGGGATTCCTTGGTGGGTTGTTTTTTATTTTGCATATGCACCTTGGGAATATATTAAGTACTTCTGATCCTGAAAAGCTTGACAAATGACAGCCAACATGTGTTTTCCCTTTATTCCATTCTCCACAGTATAAGCAAACCTGCATCATTTTCCTAACAAGGAAGATAGGGAAGGAGGGAAGAAAAGCTGCTGGAGAAACAGTGATCAAAAAAAAGAGGCAAGACCCTTGTGTGATCTCCTTTATTTGCTATCCCTTCCTTCTGGCTCCCTGACCTATTTTGCTTGTTCCTCACACCTGGAGACCACAAAGCCCTGGTGTGAAGCCCAGCCGGCAGAGTTAGGTGTGTCAAAGCAGCTCATCCATTAGGAGCTGACGTTTGCTCTAGCTTGGCCAACCCTTGTTTCACCAATGGGGTGGCAGGTTTCCAGGGTCACTAAGAAGAGGCGTATAGTTCCACTCTGCTTCACAAAAAGACACAAGTCACACATATATTATTTTAAAGTATCAGGAGAGTGCCACAGTGCCAATCACCCACATGTGACTCTTTTACTTGGAAGCAAGTATATGTTCTCACCCCTAAAAATTCTCCAGTTCCTTCAAGTACCTTTAGTGAATTACCACTGTATTAGCATTGCTATCTCTGGGTATGCATCCATCCGTTCATTAACAAATTCTTTACTTTTCTTCCTTTAAACTCTGCAATCTGCATTTGGAAAAGGAGAGTCAGCTCTTCCAGATGATGGAAGAAACCATGAATCTATAGGTTTCTGTAATAACAGTAACCTGATATTTTAAAACCCCAGGGTCATGATTTGTAGTCTTTCACGTAACAGCAAAACTAGAGCTGCCCCCCCAATCATGAGCTGATATTTCTTTAATCACAAGATCATGAGTGATTCAAGGGCAGGAACCAGGTCTTGTCAATTGTGTGCCTACACTAAAATCAGTGTTTTACACATAGTAGGTCTTTAATAATTATTGTTGAATGGGACTGAATTTGTTGACACTCAGCACCAAAAATGATTTTTCAACTTGAATAATTTAAATACCTTTGCATTCAGTGGTCATACTTTGTCAAGCCAGCAGAATTTTATGAGATGGTAAGTAGATTATACTAAACTTTCTTCCAAGTGTAATTAAATTTACTTCACAAAAACATGATTTTTAATCTGAGCACTCAAAAAGGGTGACCCTATTAGAGGGAAAAATGCTACAGCATCCTTGAGTATATAGATCCAAAACTAAAGTCAACCTAATGAAACAGGACCCCATGGAGACTGATGCTGTGACTGAAAAATACTATCGTATTTTCTTTCTCAGAAAGTAGAAAACTGGATCACTTTCAAGTTTCTCACATTAGAGCCATTCTACAAATGAGCTGTGTCGAGGTACAGAAAAAACCAACAATATTTTATTTATAATCTTATTTTTAGCGTTTGAAACTACAAATTCTGGTTCTAGAGTTGTTTAAAAGGTCATGGGTTTTATAGATGCTCATATGTAAATTAATCTGTTGTTTGCTTCCCCCCCTCCCCTTTTTCCCCCCTTTTCCATTGACTGGTCCTCTTCCTAAATACAGAACAGGTCATTACATGAAAAATATAAGATCTTGCATTATATTCCTCATTCTCTCTTAAAAATCTATTTCTAATATTGCATTCCCCATTGGACTATTTCATAAGGGTGTGAGGGGGAAAATGAAAGAGGGGGAAAAATAAAGAAAGACAAAATAGACTGGATCTCACCACTAGAATTCACCATAAAAATCTCAAAGTGTAACAGAATTCTTACAAAATTTCCTAGACCGTATACTGTAGGGATTTGAGATCTCCTATGAAAAATATGGCAGTCGGGGAAGGCAGGGACAGGATGTGGGAAAACGGTAAATAAGTGCAGCAAAAACAGGTTCTGAGGAATACACATAATTTTGTCTGCTTTAGATCACAATAGAATTTTTAATAAATAAATTTCTTTTCTTTTTTGTTTTTTTTTTGTAAAGACACTTTTTTTTTTTGAAACAGTAGATTTAGCCCAGTCATTTGTGTCATTATTAATAAACTGTCCTTTTGTTCTGTTTGTTTTCTGTAACTGTTTTAGATTTGAGTCTCTTGTACATTGTCTTTAGAGTTCATTCGGATCAATAACGGTTCATGCACTGAACTGTGTATTGAATTTATTGTGTTAACTGTTGTTGTGTGGTTGAAGGGAGATTTGTAAGAGTTATAGTGATTTAGGTGCTCATGCTCGATAGCAGGCATGGGCAGGTGGCTTTCCATGGGTGTGTCTCCTGTGATCTCATCGTCCACATTGATGATTTCAACAGTCCTTGTGGGGGCGTGATGGTTCTGCCTATGGTGCTGCTTCCTCATCTTGTAGAAAATGACCAGCATCACTGCAGCCATGAGGGTGATGGCCACAAAACAGCCAATGATGATTTTGGTAGTCTTCATGACCTCATCAATTCCTGGGATCCCACTGTTTATATCAGTCACCGGGATGGTGAATGTTTTTTCCGTTGACCTTGTGCTCTGTGGCATGAGAGAAGTGGTCACATTGGTGGTTTCCCAGTCAGTCACTGGGGTGGGCCCCACGTGGTTTTCTGTGGTCCGTGCCTCATCCTGAGAAGGTTCCATAGTCTCTACTGTGACAGTTGAAAAGTAAGTAAAAGGAGTAGTGGTTGCTGCAGTAACATTCAGGGTGGCTGAAGCAGTGGTATTTCCAACAGAATTACTCACCATACATGTGTACATGCCTGTATCTTGCACGGTTACATTTGTGAAATTTAACGTGCCATCACTGAGCACAGCTATCCTCACTTTGTAAGCCCCGTGTGTCATGACCGTTCCATTCGGAGTAATCCAGGACACGGAGGTCAGGGATGTGGAGGCCCGACACTTCAGCTCAGCTGCCATGCCTTCAGTGACATTGAGGTCTGCTGGGGGCTCCACAATTACAGGGGCATAGCATGTGAAATAATTCTGGTCAAGCTCCCCAATGTACCTCCCTTTCAGATTGGGAGGAGTGTTACACCGGGCACAACAGGCGGTGTTGGAGGGTGCCATGTCTTTTATCCACCAGCTGAGCCACAGTATGTCACAGTTGCAGTTCCAAGGGTTGTGATGTAAGTGTATCCGTTCTAGGTGATGCAAGGGCGTGAAGAGGTCATGAGGCAGTAATGTTAGATTGTTGTGTGCCAGGTTGATCTCCACTAGGGACTGAAGGTTGTCAAAGGCATTCCGTTCAATCACTTGAATCTGGGACTGTATCATCCACAGTTTTTGAAGGTGCATCAACCCCTGGAAAGAGCCAGGCCTGATGGCAGACAAGTGATTCCCAGAAAGATCCAGCTCATCTAGCTTTATGAGCGGTGTGAGGTTAGGGATTTCCCGGAGGTTGCACATGGCAAGGTTCAAATACCTCAAGTTGGAGAGACCTTCAAAGGCACCTTCTGAGATGTATGAAAGCCTTTTTAATTCCCCTAAGTCTAGCCGTCGCAAAGAGGGGATTCTATTAAAAGCATAAGAAGGGATACTTTCAATGGGGTTGTTTCGCAACCAGAGTTCCTTCAGTTTAGACAAATATACAAAAGCTCCATTCGGGATGGTAGTAAGACGATTGTCAAAGAGTTCCAGAGTGTTGAGGTTCGCCAGGCCATTGAAGGCCCCAATTTCAATTGTTCTAATATGATTCCTGCTCAACTGTAGGATTTCCAGGTGCCTCAAGTGCTTGAAGCTGTTCACTTTGATGATCTGGATTTGGTTCTCATGGAGGTTCAGCAGCCGAGTGTTTGTGGAAATGCCATCAGGAACCTCTCGTAGGTTTTTCCGAACACAAATCACCTTGCTGAACTGGTTGCTGCAGGAGCAGACAGAAGGGCAGGTTTGAGCCCGCACCAGACCAGCCACCACGAGAAGTTGAAGAGCCAGCAGCACCACAAGCAGGGGGTCAAATAGGGCCCTGTTAAACCTAGGACCTATCATTATCTGCTGTGGATGTAAGGTCATCTTGTTCAACATTCATAATTTATCTGGTGTTGGTCCTTCTGGAGTTCAAATAGTCTGCAATATAATGAGAGCAAAAGAGAGTATTAGATCTCTTCCAAAATGTCTTTCTGGGACAATGTCAGTGACACAGTGTATCAGCTAAAGCCATCATTTCTCAAACTAGGAAAACAACAAATCTAATGTTTCTTATTGAGTAATGAATCATATTTTTAGAAAAATGTTTCTGCACTTTAAATTAGCAGCCATCCACAGCCCATATTCCATCAGATGTGCAATCCCAGAGAAATGGGAGAATGCAGCGGAGGCCCTTAATAGTGATAACTAACCACTGTAAGCCGAATGCATGAGGACATATGAGATGTACCCTGCCATTAGATTCACTGTCTAATCAAACTGGAAGAGTTCAGAAAATAGAATCTGGGGGCCAAACCCAACAAGCTAAAAGATCCCTTGCAAAATTTATAATAGCTTACATTTTATTTGGGGTTATTCTATGTGTCGGGCACCATGGGCTATAGACTTCACAAGCAATCCTATCCAGGAATGGCTACATACTTTGCGGGGCTCAGTGCAAAATGAAAATATGGATGCCCTGTTAATAATTATTAAGAATTTTAAATCAGTTATAAGAGAGCATTAAGCCAAGCATAGACCCTTCTGAGAATGGGGCCCTTTGCAATTGTACAGGTTACCTGCCTGATCCTATCCAATCCTTTATTTCTCTGATGTAGAAACTGTTATATTCTTCATTTCCAAGATGAAGAAATTTATCATAGAAGTAACATACATGAATTCACAGGGCTAGTAACAACAGAGCCAGGGCTCAGATGTTCATCCAATTGGTCCAAAAGTGTATGATTTCAAACAATCCACAAAAAGAAATATATATATTTCTTTCATAATTAATTTCTTTAGAAAACTTTTCCTTTGATGATCTCAGCTGTAAACACTGGCAACTTAACATATGGTCCCTGTGAAGATTCACTGAAACAGTGACCTGCACAACTGCACATAAACTTCTAGAGAGTCTCATATACAAAAACGCATTATAATATAGCCAACCACTACCTACAGGCAGACATACCACAAATTAAATCATTTCCCATAAAGTGCAATATTTATTTACAGAAAATATTTTAGTATAACAGGACTATTACATGTCTTGTGACTCTATTCTTATTTTTAAGTAGACTTTAAGAGAAATAAAATAACTCACTCTTTGCATCTCTTCCATGGCAAGGAGGCATCCAAAGAAACTTGAGTTACCCAGTATATGCCCCACTCCACTGGTGTACCATGGATTGGGCAACTGTGTAATGACTTCTCCCAAATCTCTCATTTCAATAAACAGTGACTCTTCTATGAATCTCTTGGAAAGAAAAAAAAAGGGGAGGGGGGCAAGGAGCTGACCACAGTCCAGTTCAAAAAGGCACTAATTTAGTAATTATTATGTGTTGCTTTGGGGAAGTTAACTTGTGCCCTCCATGGTTCAATCTCCTCACTTGCAAAATGCAAGCGATAATGTTAAATTCCCCTTAGTGTTGTTGTGAGGAGAAAATTAGTTAACGTAGATACAGGGTTTAGAATAATGCCTCTCACACTGTAAGAACTCAATACACGTTAGACATTGTGGTTACTATTAATACTGTTTTCGTCGTTGCCTTTAGCCAGACTTAGTAAAATGTCTGGGCATATAAAGCAGAAGAACATAAACCTTATCCCTAAGCAAATTATAATTAAAAAGGTGAAAAACAGGCAATTCGATGAAGTGCAATAATAAACATATGCTATAGGCTTTTGTTAGGGCTGTCCCAAAGTCTATGTAACGTTACCGTCTCATAATAAACAACATATAATAAATATTTAATGCATATTAAAATAAAATGATGGGACACTCAGTTTCTTCTCATATAAGGTAGAAGTTACAATAATATTTGTTATTCAAAGTTGTGGTGAGGTTTAACTGGAATGATCAGGAGCGTGCTATCAATAAAACATGCAAACATGACATTACTATGAATTGCAGAGTACATATGCCTGTTCTCTTTCAATTCCCAGGCTGTTTTATTTTCTACTTCTAGCTTACTTCAAGGTCTTTTTGCTATTGCAATTAATGAGATTTCCCATAAATCGGTCATAAGTAACAATTTATGAATTATAACTGGTTGAAAGCTGATTTATAACCTACAGCAAATAATGTTTGGTACACGCACTGCATCGAATGAACTACTATCAACAAAAGGTTTTCTACTTTGAAATCTCAATTATGTTACTTTACATCAAAAGCCACGTTTCAACATCTCTTTCATAAGATGTTTTTATCACATCAAAAGGAAATCAATTTAAAGGTACGCACTGTCCATTACAATGTCATCTGGCAGCATTTATTTACAAATGGATCTGTATGGGTTTTGAATTAAACTATAATACTTTTAGCCTGGTCCCAGAGGATATCTTGATTTTGTCAACAGACCTTTCTTTTTTCTTTATTCATGCTTCACTGCACTGAGACACCCAGGAGGAGCTGAGTACCAGAGAGTAGTTAATGGGGATGCCTGACTTAGCACAGCATCATTGCTAAGTCAGCATGACCTGTCTAGACATTAGAACTAGTTTGGAAGCAGGGTAGGAGAAAGATACATTTAGTGAAACACAGCCACTCAACCCCCCTCCCCCAACAGACACCCACACTCACACTCATTTGCAACAGCAACAAACCTCCCAAAACACTGAGTACCAAAACCATTTACCACACTCAGCCCTGACGCTGAGGCCTCCAAACCACACCTAACCAAGGACATCAACATGAGTTTGCTCTTCCACTGTCTTTAGAAGCATCTCTATCTTCTTCTGGGACTCCCCTGCCAAAGCAGATGGCTTGTTTCATTGCCCTTATGGGAACTGACCCAGATCTATCACCTCTCATGGAAAGCATCCATGGAGGCCTGTGCTCTAAGATTTTTTGAATCCATCAGGGCTCCTTGCTGTTTTCTCCAATCCTGCACTGCTGTACCATAACTCTTACGAAGTCCTAATCAAGTTCTCACGTTGGAAAGCCACCCTAAGATCAAACTTCCAGTTCTCATTAGATTCTGGCCGCCTCTTTGCCACTTCTCTCAGACACTCCTTAATCTTTGGTGGGGTAGGGTTCTCCCTCACCCCGGAGAGCAATAAACTCAGCACTGTCATATGAACAGGTTGTGCTGGTGATGTTTAGGGAGTTAGCTTTTTACAACACTACAGGTGGGTTATTTATTTAAAATGTGCTTGAACCTTGATATCTCTCTCTCTCTCTCTCTCTCTCTATAATTGTTGCCTAATCAATGTCTTACTCCCTTGCTCTTTCCCAAGAAAACTTTGTTCAGGATAATTCACTCCCATCTTTTAAAAAAAATCACAAAATTATATGATGGGCTTTGGGAGAGGCTGATGGAGCAGTGATGGGTAAATAGAGTTTGGTTTAAGCTAGGACTGGGCAAACTTTTCTGTAAAGGGCCACAGAGTAAATATTTCAGGCTTTGCAGGCCATATGGTATTCTTTTTGTAACTGCTCAACTCTGCCATTATAGCTTGAAAGTAGCTATAGAAAAAAGATAAATGAATGGGTATGGCTGTGTTCCAATTAAACTATGCATGGGCACCGAAATTTGAAATACATAATTTGAATTTCATAATTTTCACATCTCAAAAAGTTATTGCTAAATTTTTTTTCAACTATTTAAAAATTCAAAACTATTCTTAGCTCACAGAACGTACAAAAACGTGGTGGGCTGACTTTTGGACTATAATTTGCTGAGCTCTTTTCTAAACAAACTTTGGCTTTCCTATTGCCAGAGACAGGTTAGGTCTGGACATGCGACACAATTCAGCCAATGAGATATGAGGGGAAATCAAAGAAAGGGTCTGGGAAAAAATTTTTCTTCCACAAATAAGAAACATGGGGAAGTAGTAGTTCTTGGGAAGATCTGTTCGTTAGGTCACTCCTTTCTGCTGGTGGATGCCACTGAGTAAGCATCATTGAAGTCTCCCCTCCCACAGTCTTCATGTCTAAGTCAGAGACTTCCAAAGAGCTGGGACAGCTCACAGACTATGTGGTGATGAGAGATCCAAAGACCAAGTGCTCCAGAGGCTTTGGGTTTGTCACGATGCCACTATGGAAGAGGTGGATGCAGCCATGAATGCAGGGCCACACGAGGTGGATGGAAGAGCTGTGGAACCAGAGAAGGCCGCCTCTAAAGATTCTCAAAGACCTGATGCCCACTTAACTGTGAAAAATATTTTTGTCTGTAGTATTGAAAAGGACACTGAAGAACATCACCTAAGAGATTATTTGAACACTATGGGGAAACTGAAATGATTAAAATCATGACTGATCAAGAGAGAGGCTTTGCTTTTGTAACCTTGGATGACCATGACTCTGTAGACAAGATTGTCATTCAGAAATACCATACTGTGACTGACCACAACAGTGAAGTAAGGAAAGCCCTGTCTAAACAAGAGTTGGCTAGTGCTTCATTCAGCCAAAGAAGTCAGTGTGGTTCTGGAAACTTTGGAGGTGGTTGTGGAGGTGGTTTTGGTGGGAATGACAACTTTGGTCATGGAGGAAACTTCAGTAATCAAGGTGGTTTTGGAGACAGCCATGGTAGTGGTGGATAGGGTGGCAGTGGGGATGGCTTAATGGATTTGGTAATGGTGGTGGTTATGGAGGGAGCAGCCCTGGTTACTCTGGAAGAAGCAGAGGCTATGGAAGTGGTGGACAGGCTTATGGACTCCAGGGTGGTGGCCATGGCAGGAATGTCAGCTATGACAATATAACAACGGAGGAGGCAGAGGCAGCTTTGACAGTGGTAGTGGAAGCGGTTTTGGAGGTGGTGGAAGCTATAATGACTTTGGCAATTACAACAATCAATCTTTACATTTTGGACCCATGAAAGGAGGAAACTTTGGAGGCAGAAGCTCTGGCCCCTATGGTGGTGGAGGCCAATACTTTGCCAAACCATGAAACCAAGGTGGCTATTGTTCCAGCGGCAGCAGTAGCTATGGTAATAGCAGAAAGTTTTCATTGCTGCCAGGAAACAAAGATTAGCAGGAGAGGAGAGCCAGAGAAGTGATAGGGAAGCTACAGGTTATAAGAAATTCATGAACTCAGCCAAGCAGAGTGGTAGCAGGGCCTAACTGCTACAAAGAAGACCATGTTTCAGGCAATACTCATGTGAATGGGCAAAAAACTTGAGGACTGTATTTGTGACTAATTATATAGCAAGTTATTTTAGTTTCTATTCTGTGGAAAGTGAAAAGCTTTCCAACAAAGTGTTTTTGTTTGTTTTTAAAATATGTTGTATTGATTTTAGTGAGGGAGGAAGGGAGAGGGAGAAAGAGAGAATCATCCATTGGTTGCTTCACAAAACACCCTGATCAGGGATCGAACCCACAACCTGGGTATGTGCCCTCACCAGGAATTGGACCAGCAACCTTTTGGCACATGAGACAACACTCAACCAACTGAGCCACACCAGGCAGGGCTCCAACAAAGGGTTTTAATGTAGATTTTTTTTTTTCTTTTTTGCAACCATACTTATTGCTAAATGTAATAGTCTGATCATGATGCTGAATAAATATGTCTTTAACAAAAATCAAAAACAAACATGCAAACAAAAAAGTACTTCTTTCTTCTGCTTCTGGATAACCTTGTGAGGATAAGATGCCTGGAGTTCCTGCAGCCATCCTGTGGCCAAGAGGGGAGGCAGCCCGAGGACAAGGCTGATATACGTCAAGGAAGAAAAATGAAAAGAGGGAAAGAACAGGCATTCTTAATATTGTGATAGGTAGCTGAATTCATTAATCCTGTAGTTGTCTTTCCTCTGTATTTTCTTATTATGTAAAATAACCAATTCCTTACAGTACAAACAGTTATTTTTCCTGGTTACTTATAGTCCTGTCTATCCTGATACTTTCGTATTCATTCTTTTCTCTCCCTCTCTTCTCTCTCCCTGTATCTTTTTCCTCTTTTCATCTCCCTCTTCCTCTAACCAAAAGCAATGTAAAGGCAAATAAGGCAGCAGAAAAATTCTGATTTCTTATACCATTATAAATCTGAGCTCTATCAAAGGAAACTAATATGAAGCAACAAGATTTGCTTCTAAGAAAGGTGAGGCCCATCCCCATCATGCTAAGAAGGCTTTCTGTTGCAGTCATTTCTCTGGATATCTCTTTAAATTAAAAAAAAAAAAAAAGTTCGAATTTACAGGAAAAGAAAAATACAAAAAATTAAATACCACTTCTCCAAATCAAATTCATCATACAAATATTTCCTAATATAGTTCTTTTTTTCCCATCTGAAACTCAATTTTGCAAATCTATTGAGCTTTCTCCACCCCTTATTGCGGGAGTATGTGGTTCTACAGCTTTTCAGAGAAAATAAAATTTTTGTAAATATGCCCAGGGCTTACCCTCTAGGTAAATGCAATGGAAATGATACAACATTGAAAGGGCCGTAACCCAGGGACTCAACCTGTCAAGTCAAAAGCAGGATCTTTGGCTAACCACACGGGTCTTGCACTGTTTCTAGAAAATGTTAGGATTTTAAGAAATTGAGATCAGGATAAAAACATCTGGATGTGCCTTTTCATTCTTCTAGAAGACTTATGCAGTTTATAGTAAAAGAATAAGCATGTTTAATATTTAGAGGTGATGACATTACAATATCATTAAATGAGAAAAAGCAATGAGTAGAGAGAGGATGAGTAGGAAGAAAAGTAGGAAGGAAAAGACAACACCATGCAGCCAACATGTTGCTATGTTCTGGAGAGTATAAGACAAGGATTATAAAAGAGCTAAACTGGCCAGGTCTTCTAGAACTTCACAATCTTGCCGGAGCTATAATATAAATATGTAGGTACATATAAACAATAAAAAGTGTACATGTCTGTCTCTAGGCACTAATTCAAAGCAATGTATTCAATGCCTAAATGCCATGAAGCATAGTCAGAAATCAAAATAGACGCAGATAATCAGGGAAAGTTTTAAGAGGGAAGGTGGTGGTGGAGGTGTAAAAGCAGAGGCGTAGGAGCCTGACATAGTAAGAAAGCTGGCTTAATGGAAGCAGGGGGCTTACGCGGCGGAATTTAGACAGTTAAGTTGACCCAGTTGAAGGGCACTGAACGCCTGGTAGAATAATTTGGATTTGTGGCAATAAAGAGACTTAGGAAGAAACTCCAAGTTCTGAAGCAGGAAAGGACATGATGAGAACATTGTTTTAGGAAGGAGCTGCCCTTATGTGTGAAACAAATTGGAGAGAGAAGACTGGTTGATGGAAAAGTCAGAGGACTTTAATAATCGACATCCCTCAGGTTACTTTAGAACTGAGTGGAACTGATCTTCAATCTGATTATCTGACTACTGAGAAGTATATAGGTTCAAATTAACCAGGGTAGTTGAAATTCTGCAGAGTATAAAATACCACTAAAGGCAAAATT